ATGTCCCCCCGGAACTGTCAGTCCCGTTGTTTTCTCCTCCAGATTGTTCATCCAGCCTGTCCTATCCAGACAGGCCTGCTACAATGTCTTTTTTAAGGTATTGTTATTTTCAGCTTTTTTCCAGCACCTGAATGTAGGAGTGTTGGGGTAACAAAACCTAAAATGGAAACTGTTGACTCAATGATGGGGTGGTAGCACAGTAAGAAGAAATCCCTTATGACAAACCAGATTGTCTCTACTGCACCATGACAAACGTTTGATAACTTCTACATGTGATATGCTGTGTCAACACAACCTGCCATTCTAGTGGAACCTGCTGGGAAATCTCCAAGCATGGGTTTGGATTGTCTGCTTCGTGTCCCTTTTAGGAACGCCTATAAAATGATATTAATTTAAGATGGACAACGTATACCAGTTGAAAGTTTGTAAAATGTACACATACTGTATTTTAGGCTATTTTTAAAATTAAGGTCATTCCTTCACTAACAGTGCAAAGGGAAATGATTTGATGCCAAATGCTTTATCATCATTCAGGAAAGACGCTACCGCCTACACTAACACAGAATTGGTGGGAATCGCAAAGAAATGGTGGAGCCGATAAGGTACAGGCAGGAATCATGATGACCCAAAACTTCTCAAAGGAGCCCGTAGAAGTGCCTAAGACAGATCTAGTAATCAAATAATGACATTAGGAAGGGAAAGAAGTAGGAAATAGGAGGCGAAAGAATGACAGATTCCCAGAAAGGGAAAGACAGAGACGATTGAATGTGTGCAAGTAGTTTACGTCAATAAAATCACTTACAAAATGTATTTCTGTTACCAGAGAGTAAAACAATAAATGAAAAATGCCAAATCGGAATGCATATTCCCGTTCCTGGTGGCTATATGTTAAAAGGAAGGTGGATTACAACATTCTGTCAACAGATTCCGTTAAGTACAATAAAGATAAGTGACTGTCTCAAAGGAAAACTCATTTACCTCCTGGGAGACTCTACTCTGCGCCAGTGGATCAATCACTTTCCCAAAATTGTAAAAAGTATGTTGTCATTTTATATAATCTTAGGAAACCAGGCTAAGTTTGAAAGTATGTTTATGAGACCTCTCTTTTTGCCCATTTGTTTTGCTTTCCTTTTAATTCACTTGTCTATTTTTAACCATTTCACCCATATACAATTCATAGCTCATACATTTCAGTAGCTCATTCGCATGCATAGGAGTTGTGCGATCATCACTGCAATCAATTCCAGGATATTTCTTCTTCCTTTTCCTGCCAGCCTCTCCTGTCCTGGCCTTTGAATCTATTGATCCAGTTATTGTCTCTATAGGTGTAACGAATCTGGATTTAATATACATGATACAAACTCTAGACAGAATACAAATGACCCAACAACGATGATACCATGAAAGAGGAAAAGCCCCATCGATAACAAAGCAGAAAGTATCCAAAACCAGAGCAGTTTTACATTACGTCAAGAGGGAAATCACTGATAACATATCACATTTGGACCGAACTACAATTGCAGTGACTGGTCCTACAATGTGCTGTGTCCGTTAAACAGGTCTTCCTCATCTCTGGTCCACAGAGAGCAGTCACCAGAGGCTTAATCCACATGGGGGACACTGCAAATGGGTTTTGGGCTTTTAGTGCCATCCACAGCCTTCTGCAAACTGGGAGTTCAGAACTTAAGTTCCGAATTAAATATCATTCCCTTCTCTGGTTTTGGATTTTATTATTTGCACTCCTTGGATCACACATGCTGGTGTGCTGCTTCCGTGTGGATTTAGCCAACGCCTCATTTAAATAGCTGCCGTTTTGCTTTTGACTGCATTTCATTCCCTGGACCTAAGACTTTGTATCTAAAATGTATCATTATTACCATTTTCATTGAGATTGAACACATGCGATCTAAAAAACAACTCTATAGGGCAGGAATTTTCCAGTCAGAAGTCATCTAGGTGGGTGAGGATTTTAAATGACAGACTATACTGTTTAAAAAATAATCATTGATGTATACTTCTTTAAAATGTATTTCTTTTTTCTTCAGCATTAAAATTTTTCAATCTTCATGGAACTGGAAACTTTATGAAATACTTGCTTCTTGATGAAGAAAAGCATCTTCAGATTCAGTGGATGAAACATAGCTATCCTTTTGTTACTGTTCAACTTTACTCTGTGATAGAGCAGGGTTATATCCCCAGGGAAATTGACCAGATACCAGGGGATGAAAACACAGTCATTGTTATCACCCTCGGCCAGCACTTCAGACCCTTCCCCATTGACGTTTTCATCCGCAGGGTCATCAACATCCAAAAGGCTATTGAATTACTCTTTCTAAGAAGCCCGGCCACTAAAGTGATCCTTAAGGCTGAGAACACCAGGGACATGAATGCAGACCCAGAGAAGTTTGGAGACTTCCATGGCTACATTCAATATCTGACTATGAAGGACATTTTCAAAGATCTCAATGTGGGTGTTATTGATGCCTGGGACATGAGTATTGCATATGATTCTAATAGCATCCACCCACCTGATGATGTGATTAACAATCAGATTACCCTGTTCTTAAACTACATCTGCTAAAGGATGAATATAGAAAATCATCAGAACCGAGTCTAAATAAACCCATTCGGATAGGTAAAGAAGTGTCATACATGTTAGGGACTAAGAAAATCTCGTCTTTACAGTTGTTGTCAGGTGCCATCAAGTCATTTCTGACTCATAGTGACCCTTTGCACAACCGAACAAAACACTCCAAGGCCTGACGTCACCCTCACAATCACTGTGATGTTTGAGCCCATCGTTTCAGTCAGTCTGTCTTCTTGATGGCCTTCCATCAGCAAGACAATGGATCCAAGCAAAATGAAATAATTGACAACTACACTCTTTTCTCTGGAAGTGTTTATGGAAAGTCCACTAACGGACATAGAAAACCAACACAGGAAACAGCTGAGAGAATTTAAAACAGGAAGGATGATTACACCATGATAAGAACTTGCTTATATGTGCTAATAAATGTTATTCTTTAAGCAAATGTATTTCAGGATTTCTGTACCATTGCTGAAAGCATCCTGCCTAACACATGAGTAGGTTAATCAGCCAAACAGTCTAAACAGGAGCCACCTAACTTTTGCTTTAACGAGCCAGAGAGTACATGTTTTAGCCTTTATGGCCTCTATCCCATGGATGCAATTCTGTCATGGTCTGTGAAAGCAGCCACAGATGATACATAATTGGATAAGTATGACTATGTGACAGGAAAACTTTGTCCACTGGCACTGGAATTTCATATCACTTTCATGTGCTGCACAGCGTGACCTTTTCCCAACCTTTTAAGAATGTGACAACAATGTTAAACTCATGTTGTAACTGTTAGGTGCTACTGAGTCAGCTCCAACAGAACAAAACACTGCCCGGTCCGCACGAGCCTCACCATTGCTCCTACGCCCAAGCCCACTGATGCAGCCGCTGTGTCCATCCATCTCACCAAGGGCCTTCCTCTTTGCCGCCAGCCCTGTGCCTTTGCATAGTCAATGAAACACAGCACACATCTTGCTGGAGTTCTCTGCTTCGAGCCAAAATCCGTCTGACATCACCCTGGTTCCACATCCTCTAATGAATCCAACCTGAACTTCAGGCCGTTCCCTGACAATATGCTGCTGTAACCATTGTTGGATGATCTTAAGTAAAATTTTAATTGTATGCTATCAATCATATCGTTCTATAAATTTGAGCTTTCTTTTGGGTCACCTGTCTTTGGAATGGGCACATATATGGATCTCTTCCAGTCAGTTGGCCAGACTTCCTGGCGTAGACAGTTTAGTACTTGCGGTGCTTCTTCGGCTTTCTGAATCATTTCGGTGAATATTCCGCCAATTCCTGGAGCCGTGATTTCGGAATGCATTCGGTGCATCCTGTACTTCTTCCTTCAGCACCATTGGTTCTTGCCCATAGGTAATCTGCTGAAATGGTGATCTTTCAGTAGTTCTTGTGCAGTGACTCTGTGCATGGTTTTCATCATCCTTTTGATGCTTCCTGCATCATTCAATATGTTGCTCATAGAATCTTTCAACTTGAGGCTTGAATTTTTGCTTGAATTCTTTCATTTTCAGATGTACTTATGGTCCCTGGAAAAAATGCAGTGGGCCCAGGTGGCCCTATCCATAGTTTTCCAGTGACTATTTTAAAACAAAAAACTTGATGAAATGAAGCACGAATGTCTTGGGTGTTAAGGGGGGAAAAGTAACAAACTACAAATAAAAGAAGAAGCTTCGACCTCTAACTACCAGAAAACTTTAACACATCACTTAATGGCTAAGATATAACATGTTCCCCCAAGGCCAGGAACAAAGGATGGTGCCTATCTCTGCTCTGACGAGTCCTGGTGGTGTAAGGTTAGCAGTTCAAAACCACTAGCCACTCTGGAAGAACGACAAAGCCTTCTACTCTCATAAAGAATGACAATGTTGGCAACCCACAGGAGTTATGCTACCCTGTGCTGTAGGGTCCGCTATGAGTAGAAATCAACTCGATGGCAGTGAGTTTGGTTGACTGGTTTTATCTATGCTTTTTATACGACAACGTACTGGCAGCACGCTGTAGAGAGGAGCAGAAGGAACTTCCCTAGGTTAGTTGAGCATTCTCAGAAAAATAAACTAAGAGACTAAATTGAAATATTGTAAGGAAAAACTGGGGGGTGAGATTTAGAAAGTGGCCTAATATACCCTCAAAATACAAAAAAGCATTGTTTCCTTGACTGTAGCAAAGGATCCCTGGTAACGTAGTAGTTCGTTACTAGGCTGTGATCTGGAAGATTGGCAGTTTGAAACCACCCAGCAGCTGCACAGGAGAAAGATGGGGCTTTCTACTCCTATAAAGAGTTACAGTCTCGGAACTCAAAGGGGGAAGTTCTATCCTGTTCCTATAGGGTCACTATGAGTCAGTCTTAACTTGACAGCAGTGAGTGAGTCAATGCCAGGTGCTGCCGAGCCCTTCTAACTCCTAGAGACCCTCGGTAGACAGAACGAAACACTGCCCGCTAAATCCATAAGGCATGCAACTGGCTAATCCCTCAGCACCCCTGGTGTCGCTGTTGAATAAGTGTTGGGCTGCTAACCACAAAGTCAACAATTCAAACCCACCAACTGGTCTGAGAGGAAGAAAGGAGGCTATCTGTTCCTGTAAGGATTTAGAGCCTTGAAAACCCTATTGGGTCAACTGTCAGAACCAACATTATGGTGGGTGGTATGTATCTCAGAAATGGACCACCTGTTCCTTTATTCAAGGCTAGGAAAATAACACATACACTATTATACTTAACCCTATAAATTTGATATGGAGCCCTGGAGCTGTAGTGGTTACCAGATGGCCTGCAATCCGCCAGGTTGGCAGTTCAAAACCACCTGCAACTCTGAGGGAGAAAGGTTGGGCTTTATACTCCCATAAAGTTAGTCTCAAACCCACAAGGTGTCTCTGAGTCAGCACTGACTCCATGGCAGTGACTGAGATCAATTTGACCCTTTCGCACATGCTGCAGACGTATCTTTGTCTAGTCTTACTAGGAAACATTCCAAATGTTTAGTAATATGTACAAACTTAAAAGTGCAGCTTAGTCAACTGTCAACGACAAGTACTTGGCCAATCCAATTACTAAACATAAATATAACAAAGAATATATGCAGGCTCCATGTCCAGCCCCGCACAATTTTAATGAGAGGAATTAGAGACCTGAAAACCTAAACCTATGAAGGGAGTTCAGGAAGTTCATGGGAAAATTCCATTTTCTGTGGTCTTTTTGAAGCTTCCTTATTTATGTAATATCGTCAGATTGAAAGACTAACAAGACCTACCAATAAAATACAAATACCATCCCAAATCGGAACAGATTGTATGTGAGAGGAAAAGATTTGACAATATGATTTTAACATCTCTAAGGAAGTAAAAAAGACCAGAAACAATGGACACACTTCCGGAAGAAGGGAAGTTTGCAGAACGGCCTTCTCCAGGTGCTGTTAGATGCCTTCGAGTCAGCTCTGACACCTCACTACCAAACCAAACCGTTCTTGGTCCGCACCAAGCTCGTTAAGTTACCAAGACTTAAAGCTAACACCCTAGGCCGGGGGACACTGGTCAAGGCCCGTCATACAGGTGACCCACTGGTGGTCCTTTTTACAGCAGTGTAAGAGAGGCCCCATCTCCTCGTGCTCCAACCGCAGTGGTGGTTTCTTGGTTTTTGACCTGGACTGTCATTGTAGGCTGCTATATCTTCATTGGTTTGATTTGCATCTCCCAGCTGGCTAATCGTCCGGGAGCAGGTTTGTTAGCCATTTGGGTGTCATTTTTGTTTGTTCATGCCCTTGGTAGGGGGCGGGGGGCGGAATTAAACTGAACACCTACACCAGAAAGTCCATTCAGGAATGTCAAGGGTGAGGACAACACTCAGAAAGATGAGGGAAACAAAGGTGATGGCCGCAGTGCCGGGGGAGTGGAATCAAGGCCACCGAATTGGCCCCTTCAAAGTAGTGAGATGTACCGTTACATAGGCTTTACCACAATAAAAATATCTTTTAACCTTTTTTTTTTAAGCTCAGGGAGATTGTAGGCTTAAACGTGCAAAGCGATTTTCTGCTTCTCGAGTGGAAGAGGGAAGTGGCGGCGCCAAAGGCTGCTGCAGTAGCGGTAGTACTGAGAGCAGGCCTTTGCCACCGGTCGGGCTCTGGGTTGTTGAAGAACATGCTGTCGTCAGTCCAGTTCCAGAAGGTGGACATGGATAACGGTGAGGAGAATAAGTTCATGGGCAAGGAAGACGGGGTCAGGTGACGCCAGGTTGGGCCTGATGAGGGCGAGTTGGATTCCTGCCTGTGACAAAGAGACATGGCGGCTGCATTGCCGGCTGCTCGGAACCCCACCCCCCTACCCCCACCAATCAACACTAAGAGCCAGCCCCAGGTCAAGGATGTAGCAGGCAGCATTGTCTTGAAGGTGCTCATCACTTTTAAAGCTACTGATATTGAAAAGGCAGTTCAATCTCTGGACAGCATGGTGTAGATCTCCTAATGAAGTGGACGGACAAAGGCTTTGAGAGCCCCTCGGACAAAAGCAGGGGCAGGAAAAAGCACTTGCTGCAGGAGGGGTCAGATCCATCTTCTGAGTCTTGACGGCAAGGAAAACGATATGGCCCAGCAGGCACTGGGCCGACTTGTACAAAGACTCAAAGAACCAAATGCCCCTGCTGCCCGCTGGGTGGCCTCTGTGTCTCTCAGTTTGTGCCTTCTTGCTTTTTCCTTTTCTGTCTCTCTAATGACGAAAATTACACATGCCAGTTTTCTTTGAAGGGAAATGGAGATGGCACAGAGGAAATATGTTTTCAGCTGAAATGTTTCATGTTCTCAAACCCATTTCAGATGTATGTACCAGTCTATAGGATCAGTTACATTCCGGTTAAATTGTGTAATTTTTAACTCCGATTGACTGGGTTTTATTTTTGTCTTGTTTTTAGTCTAATCTTGAGAGATTTGACCTGACATGAACGATTTGGTCAGTGTTCTAACTTATTGTTAGCCAGGCAGTGGTTTTTATCTAAG